CGAACCCAGCTTAAAATAAACCCTATTTAATTTTTTGTATTAAATAGGGGAACTTGTCGGCAAATAAAACGGTTTCGCAGACCAAACGGATGTCATATCTTTCTTAGTTTATTTGATCGAGTCTCACTCTCAAGTCTTGTGTTTATCCCTTGGGGTAGATACAGGATTTGAGGTTGAGTGCTCTTTCATTTAAACTATGGAAAATATGAGGTCAGTTTGATTTCATATTTTTCTAAAATTATATATATATGCGTAAATTAAAAAGTCCTTCCGAAGCGGGCGACGGGATTTCGATTCCGGCGACCGACAGCTTCTTACGGGCGACCCCCAAACTTTTAAAAAAAACTCTCTTTTCCCCCTTTTAAGCGCCGACAGTCACCAGTAGAATTATTACAATGTCGATTAAGTATCAAATAACATCATGGCACCACGATCTCAAGATCTCTGTAAAGGGGTTCAATTTTAACATTTAGCAACGTGACACCAAGGCACATAACTATTTGAATTTAAAGCAAATTTATGGCTTGTGATCAACTTTGAATTGGAGAGAGATAGAGTTATACAAAAAGAAGCTTGTTGATAGCAGAGATTTTTAGAATCAAAATTGTTCCTTCTCCATTATTATACATTCTTTTCTAAATTTCAATAGCTTATGTTCCATGTACTTTTTTAGGAGTTTGATGTCGCCAAAAGTTGAATATTAGATTTTATATTGCCTTAATAATTTGATTTTCCATTCAATCTTGTAATACGAAAGCTTTCTCATTTCTCATTCCTCATTTTAGTTGAGAACAAATATTACATATTTATACACACTTCCAACTCTCTACATTAAGAATCACTCTAATATGGAAAAGATCATGTCTTTAGATATCCTCTAATTAGGTTATCTAATATCAATTTTCCAAATAAACAAGCTTCCTAATATACACGGTTCAAAGTTATTACTTTCCCTAACATTTTCTATCAAGCCGGAGCATAGATATTTATCATGCCCAACTTATTACAAATATAAGTGACCTTAGTTCCATTAAAAGCTTTCGTGAAAATATCCCCTAGTTGTTCTCCACTTTTTATACAAGATGCAAAAATTAAGTTATGTTGACCCTCTCACGAACAAAATGACAATCAATCTCAATGTGCTAAGTTCGTTCATGAAAAACAAAATTTGAGTTAATATGAATTGTAGCTTGGTTATCACATTACAACGTTGTTGGAACTGTCATCTTAAAATCTATTCCAATCAATAGTTGGGAGACTCACATCAATTCACTTGAAGCTCGTGTCATTGTTCGATACTCATATTTAGCACTGAACCGTGACACTATATGTTGTTTCTTACACTTACAAGAGAACAAAATACCACCAACAAAAATTTAATATTCAGTAATGGATCTTCGATCAATCTTGTATCAGAGAAACGTTCAACATTTCTACATCCATAATCCTGATATAAAATACCTTGTCCAGGAGCTCCCTTGAAGTAACATAGTATTTGTTCCAAAGCTGACCAATGCTAAAACTATGGGGGAAGACATAGACTAACTTATATTGCTAATTGTATATGCAATGTCAGGACAAGTTATTGTGAAGTAGTTTAATTTTTCCACTAAATTTTGTCGTTCAGTATCATTAAAAATCTCTCCATTTTTTGTAAGTTACTGATTAGGAAGCCTCGAAGTACTACATGGTTTGACCCATAATTTCTTAATATTTGCTAACAAATCCAACATATTTTCGTTGAGATAGAAATATACCCCTCTTGCTCCTTGTTACCTCAATCCCCAAGAAATACCTTTAGGAACTCAGATCTTTAGTGTTGAACTGATTTTGAAAAAATGATTTCAATGATAAGATTTTCTGCACATCACTTTCAATAATAATAGTTTCATCAACATAAACCACCAACAGAATGATTCCCAAAACGCATTACTTATAGAATACAGTGTGGTCACACTTTTACTTTGGCAAAATGTGTCAAATACAACGATAATTGCATTTAGTGGTGGTGGTGTTGAGTCGTTTGGTTACTTCTTGTTCCATCTCACAGGATCCTATATGATTGAGCATGTATCCAAGGTTATCTAGCTAAATTGAATTAGAAACCAATGGGATTCAATCATTTGTATGGTGCAGATTAAGTTTAAAAAGGAGCGCATTTGTAGTCCGCCAATACTCTAAAAGTTTTAGTCCACAATGTACACCTTGCCTTTCAATTTTCAGCCTAATTTAAAAGAGCACAACGCACATGCCTCCAAGAGTATTGAAGGATAAATTTCATAGAAGTCTAAAAAATTAACTCAATAGCAAGATCGCATAACAAACCTGGCTCTTAAACCTTAAAATTACGAAATATTATTTCCATGTGATGTGAAGACCATTTTGTTCTATGGTCAAGCCTACTGATTAAATTATGAAAATCCAAATACGCTCTTTGAGTTCAATATAAGAAACAAAAAAAACTTGGACACTTACAAGTGGGCGATCCCGCCAAAACTCTGGTAATGATCTCCTCTGCAAGGTTCAATACCAAATATACAATTAAAAAGCGATTAAAGTAGAGCATCAATTATTATCAGCACAAAGAACCAGGAAACCAATGCTAGATAACCATGTCCAGTTTATGAATAAATCCAATATATTAACTGTAGAAACGTTGAACAGTTCAAAATTAAAAATTAACAGGAGATTATTACAGGCGTAGGTGTGAAATCATGTTTTAGTCTGCACCAATAAAAGTCAGGAAGTCCACTAAAATGATAGCTAAGCAAATCCATAATACTTTCTAATCTTAACCAAAAATCAATTCATCAATTCTAAGTTTAAATTTATTAATGATCCAACCAAATTCCTAATGAATGTGAAAAAGATGACCGTTTAATTTAAGTTCAAGCTACAAAAAGTAATCAAAACTTAAATGATAAAAATAAAATAAACGTATGAAAAAAATAACATATTTTAACTACTACAACATAAATTTTTTTATGTCATATCCTTGTATTTAAAAATTTGCTCCACTATTTGAAGTCACTCGATAAACTCATCTAGATCCATGTGACAGCCAAACTTCTGTAAATCAACCATTACTTCAAAAGTTTTGGCTTCTCCACTAATATTTCATGTTAAATCGTCAAGATAGTGATTCTTCATCACTAAAAACTACCTGGTTGAATGGATTCACTTCCTCCAGATCTAACAAATCATTGTTGTTGATATGATTGATCTCACATAATTGTCTCACCTAAAAGACAGCAAGCCTCTGTTGCAATTGGAAGATTTCCCATTGCTTATCCTCTATAGTAAATTGACGGACACCTCGTTGAGGGTTCCTACCTGACGACGTGGCATCCTTTCCTCCTGATCAGGTTTCTGGTAGATGTAAGATTACATATCAAAAGTTGGTTGAGGGCTTAGGTTTTGGTGGTAAGTATCGAGGTATCAAGGTAAAATTTTGGTGGTAAAGCATACCGTCTCTCAAGCTAATCCACCCTTAAGATTTCCCGATCAAGTTGTTGCGATGTCTAGCACGGATATGGAGAGCGGCGGTGGATCCAAAAACAAAAAGCGGCGGAGCAATGGAGCCAGCAGCCAGAACAAAGTGTTGGCAGCGGAGCCATCTCCATTCTACTATAATTTCGATTTGGCGGCGGAGAGGGAGTGGATGCCATGAATCGAGCGGATGTTCTTTGCAGCAAATGGTGCATTCTTTGTGGCGGAGAGGGACTGAACCAATGCATTATTTGTGTATGGCAGTGAACTTCCTACTTTTGACATGATGTTTTGATCTTTTTGAAGTGCGGATAGACACAATAAAACTTCTCTCTGGATTTGGAGGTAGCACCTTGTCAAGTCTTTTTATCAGAAACAATATATCTGTTGGTGCTTCTGGAGCTTTGTTTGGGCTTCTCGGAGCAATGCTAACAAAGTAAAATTTGTAGCTTTTGCTTTGTGTTTGTATTACTTGAATTACCTTAACTTTATTGTTTGCTTTTTTTTAATATATAATTTTTTCCTCTCAAGGCTACTGCTTTATTTACACTGTTGGGTATGATTGTGACCAATCTGGCTATTGGAATACTTCCCCAAGTCTTGCTTTTTTGCTTCTTGTCCGCATAATTCTTATCTTCATTTGTTATTTTATCAGGTTCAACATTTTTCTGCTGACTCATAGTAGAGATTATTAACATGTTAGCAACTTCTTTAATTTTATATATTCCTCCCTTCCCACTATCCATAAATAATATTTGATAATTATTTAACCTTTATTTATTATCTAAGTGAACTTTGTTAAACCTTAGTAAGACCATGTTATTGCAAACTTTGGCATTTATTCCTCTGCTTTCCTATTTTGAAAATGGAGCTACTTCTGCTTCACATTATCAAATTGGTGGTTATTTTTGCTTGTGACGGACGATGGAGAAGGAGATTTTAATCAATGATTTTAATGTTTGACCATCTAAGTACGTCGAGGGGATAAGACTTTCATATAGGTGAAGTTGGAGTTTGGAATAGATTTTTTATGTGATTAATTTTATTATGTATGGATAATGTTGGGGAATCTGATGGAAGTACTTTTAGGATTTGAAAGGCTTTTGAGAGGTGAAGATTTTAGCATAGCTAAGCTCTACCAAGAGATTGTGCATTTTGGTTATGTTTTGGATGCCTGCTTTTGTGTGAAGCATAATGGTTTATATACAGAGATATGATTGGCGTTAAGTATTTTTTTGAAAGCTTATAATGATAGGAAAAATTTTCAGTTGTTAGGGTTTGTGATGTAAATGTCTTGGTGTGTGGAGATGAAATAAAAACGGATAGAAGAATTATGACAGATTTTATCTGAGTTGTTAAACTTGGGGAGAAAAACTAAATAAGAGCAGAAAATGTTGAAATTTAGAGACAAGTTTGAGAATAATTGATGAGGACATAAGGATTAAAATAATTGCAAGAAATCATGTTAAATTAGTTGTTTTCTAAACACACAAACCAAACAGCTAGACAACTTATCCAGATCAGGGGCAGAATGGCCATTTATCCAGAAACAGTTGCAAATCAGCAGTTTTCCAAACGCATAAACCAAAAAACCAACTAGCTTATCTGGATAACCTGTTGATCAGCAACTTATCAGGATAATCTACTTATCTAGATAAAGTGGTTATCTGGATAAGCTGGATAAGCTGCAGCAGCCCCAAATAAACCCTTAATAAGAAAGTGGTTGTGGAATTGTAAGGGAAAGATAATATTTGAGTTCAACGGCGCTTGGACAGAGATAGGCATTGAGCAGCGGAATTTGGAAGGAGATTGAAAACAAACTCTGCTATTGAAAAACAAATTTGAGCAAGTAAGTTGTTGTATGAATGAATGGCAGTGGCCGAACGGAGGTACAACAAGGTACGGGCAATGAGGAGATTTCCACAAGTTATGCCTAAACAAGATACAGATACACCACTTCCGAAAGGAAGATGATACAACACTTTGAAGAACATAAATAGAGAAGCAAAATCTCTCAAAACAATAACAATTCAAAATTTCTCTCTTCAAACTAGAAAAACAAACATATAAATAGTCCCTCATGCATAAATAAACTTAATTAGAAAAAACATAATAGCTCAAAAAGGAAAAGAAAACTGGATGGAATTGGAAATGATAGTAATTTATGGCGTAATCAGTATCCCGTGGTTGTGGATATTTGGCGATCATGCGGAACTACGTAGAGTTTGCAGACTGCACAAATTCCGCTGAAATAGGGACTGCAGAATCTCGCACTCCCCCATCACTAGTTCAATCAAATCAAGTCAAATTTGATGTTTGTCCTATTTTATGTTCCTCGAGGTCTATGCTTCGAGTTAAACACAGTATTTGATCATATAATCATGTCATTAAGCCATACAAAGCCTATTATAATTGCAAAGACAGTCCATAAATGTATTAACGTAATACTAAAACTCTGCATTGATGACAAGAAAAACTAGACCAAAGAGGTCAAAGATATCTGCATGCTCATATGACCATCAACTTACCCTGCAATGCTTCTGAAATTCTGGGAACACCGTACTGTCATTAACGATTATCTCAGCATGCTTTCTAATTAACACAGCCCACTGGTTTAAAAAAAAAAATCGTGTAACTTTGTTAAACAAATAATAGAAAATTAAATAAAGGGGAATTTACATAATTGGCACACAATTCTTGTGTATTTGCATATCTCACAACTAAACTTTCATATTTAAACCTATAAATGAAAATGTGTATTTCACTTTTAAAAAGTGGTAATAGTGTTATTTTTATGTGATATTAAGGATTTGTAGTGCTATATGTGCAAATAAGATATTTCAGTTGTGAGATATGTGAACGCGTAAGAATTGTGTGCTATGTTTGTAAATGCCCCTTAGATAACTTGACAAAAACTATGTTCAACTTAAAACAAGAGGAATATATAGCACCTGTGACCCCTTCCTCCAGTTATGCACTGGAATAACTGGATGCATTTTTGGATTATAACGACCTTCTTTGGTATCTGCAAAACTGCTTCCAGGAGTATGCTATCAGAAACTAGCAATAAAAACCATAAAGAAACAAAAATTTCAATTATATCCTAATCCAGCATGGTCAGAACAATGGTGGTTTTGAAGACGTCATAAATGCGTATTTATATCCCCTATAAATGGAAGGATGTACATCATCTATGTAAAACATAGTAATATCTAACTATAATTAACAGAAATAGTTTGAAGGTCCTTTCTTCTTAATGCCCTACTGTGAGTAGACATTTGAAAAAAAAAAAATACAACCCATTGCCGGCTGCAAAATGAAACAAAAAAGTAAAAAATATGTGGCACTGATTTTAATCACCATAAACAGCCTCATACAAATTTAAGTATTTTATCTGTTAAGTTTTTATATCCATATATTCTATCTTCAAGCCATCAATTCCATACAGCTCTAGTATTTCTGCAATCTCTCAAAGCTTCACATCTATTGTTATTGAAATAAATATCTGTAGAAAGATGGAGAAATTATATCTTCTTATTTAATATTAGTCAAATCACAACATTTCCCCATATTACATGGGGAATGTCTAAAGAAACATAAATAAATCTATTACAACTTACCAAATACAGCAAAAACAATAAAGGAAAAACATTCAACATAATAAGAAATGGAATAAAAAAGAATAAAAAAGAAATAAGAAACTCCCTCCAATAGCTTCAACAAATTAATCGTGTGAAGCCCATATGGCCGATGGTCTGGGTCATCTAAAATGGAAAGAATTCCACACTCTCCCTCAACCTAGATCATAGATGTTGTATAGACCCAGCTTGGTATTCAAATCATTGAAGCTGCCAAGAGCTAAGGATTTAGTGAACACATCCACGACTTAAAGATGAGTTGGAATGTAGATTAAGTGCATACTGTCACCATTAACCTTTTCAGAGATAAAATGTCTATCAATTTTTATGTGTTTGATCCTATCATGATGCAAAGAGTTCTTTGGAATACTAATGACAATCTGACTGTTACAAAACATCTTTATGAGATTAATTGTGGAGCATCTCAAATCATTTAGTAAAATTTGAATCCACATTTCTTTACAAATTCCCAAAACAAGTGTTTGTTGCTAACATTTTGCACTACTTCTAGAGACAAATACTTGTTTCTTACTCAATGTGGCAAGATTTTCTCATACGTAGGAACAATACTCGGATGTGAATCCTCTGCCCATGAGTTATCCTATCCAACTAGCATCAGTCTAAACTTCTACCTTCAAGTTATCTGATTTCTTAAACAATAACCCTCTGTCAAGGGCCTTCTCAAGAAACATCAATATTTTGTAAATTATCTTCAAATGTTGTTTATTAGACTATTCATATGTTGACTCACAATGCTGATAGAGTAAGCGATATCAAGTCAAATGTGTGATAAGTAGATAAATTTATCCATCAATCTATAGTATCTACCATTTTCACTAGTGACTTTTCTCCTTTTGAATATAAATTTGTGTTGAAATCCAAGGAAATTTCAGTCGGTTTACACCTCAACATTCATGTCTCTTTTAGTAGGTACATAATGTACTTTAATTAGGGCATCACAATTCTCATCTTGGACTAGATCACTTCCATATCCAAAAAATATCTCGAAGCTCCTGGAGTCTTAATTTCAAATTCAATGACAAGAACCTCCTTAATCTTCCAAATCGTTTTTTCAATCATCACATGTCAGAAACACATCATCTACATAGAAAAAAAATATAATTTTCTTATATCTCTATATATGTTTTATAAACAGTGTATGATCGGTTTTGCATTGGATGTATCAAATAGATTTCATAGCCTTAGCAAACTTGTCAAACCAAGTCCGTGGAGATTGTTTGAGGCCAGTGACATAGTTTACAAATTAGATGTTTATTTGAGTCATTTTCCAACCTCGGTATAATCTTCATATACACTTCTTGCTCAAAGTCAGCATTCAAAAAGCATTCTTGATATCAAGTTATTGTAGTTCTCAATCTTTGTTAACTGCTAATAAAAGAAGACTCTTATAGTGTTTTGTTTGATCGCTAGTGCAAATGTCTCTTGATAGTCCATCCCACAAGTTTGAGAGAGATATTTGGCCACCAACCTAACATTAAACCTCTCAATGCTCTCATCTGCTTTATACTTAACATTGAATACCCACTTGCACCCAGTGAATTTTTTATCTGGAGGAAGCATTGTAAAGGTCAATGTGTCATTTCGATTAAGCTCTTGCATCTCCACTTCAACTGTATTTTTTCATTCTAGACTTTAAAATGTTTCATGAATAAACTTGGGTGTCTACACACTATCAAAATTAGATATAAAAGCTTTATAAAGTAGTGATAACTTCCCATAGGCAACATACCCTTAGATAGGATAATTTGCCAATTTTTTCCTATCTTCTCCATTGGATTTCACCTTGCTTGGAATTTCAAAAGTGTGTGAATTCAGATTTGGTAGTGGACAGTCTCGTGGTTGCATATTAAACTTATCCTACTCAATAAATTTCTTACTCCTAGCATACACACAAAGCACCTTGAGCATTTTTTTGTTGTCAATCCTAGGTTAGATATTTCAAATGATGGAACTTGAGAGACAGGATGGTCAGAGGGAAATAAATTAGGTTATGATGATTCTAGATCAGTGTGGGTATCCAGAGTAATGTCACAAATCTGATATTCACGCAGACTCTCCCCTTGAATTTCAGATTCAGGGTAGTAGGATTATTTTTCAAAGAAAATAACATCCATGGAGTTACTATTTGTTTTGTAATGGGAGACTATCAGTTGCAGCCTTTTTTGTTAGAGACAACCAGGGAAGATAGATTTGATTGATTTTCCGCCAAGCTTTACGTTGTTTGGTTGGTGAATATGAACAAAAGAGAGCAAAAAATTTTTAGAGAATGATTGGATGGGAAGGCTTTAATAAAAGGGTACATTTCCATCAAAATATCAAGAGAAGCTTTGAATCCAAAGACCTTGCTTGGCATTCTGTAAATGAGATAGATGGTTGTGCGCACTAAGACTATCAAAACGGCTCGTAATAACATATCAATATCACTATATATTTGTACAACCGTCACAGAAGCATCGTTTAAAAATTGTGTTAATTAAGTCACATCAATATCAATATCCTTTACCATATACGTGCACGGGTACCATAGTGTTCCCCCACTAGTACAATCAAGGGGTGACTCCATCAAAGTCAGTGATGCACAGACAAACAATCAACATAAATATATCATTCATTTGTTCAATGCATTTAATTTAGCATATTATATAAAACACACTAATGCATGAAAGTAAGCAGCTACACACCTTCATAATACGACCAATAAAGGAAAGAATATCCCAATCAAAATAAATCATGTGGAAGTTTATTAACTGTAAAATAGTTGAGAAAAAACAAATTATTACTATAGATTAAAGTATGATTACTCACCTCGATGTTGATTAATTCATACTTGAATTTGCCTCGACGTCAACTCCTCTAAATTAGAAACATAATCATAAGCATGATATTTAATTATTTTATTATATTAATAAACTATCTTTTTATTAATTGAGTAATAAATTTACTTTATATAATCCCTTTTAATTTTTTATTCTATATATATATATATATATATATATATATATATATATATATATATATCTTATTAAGCACGATGTTTCCGCCTCCTTCTCTACTAAGGTTTGCGATTCAATGGCGACACGAGTGATCGTTCATCATGTCTCGCTCATACGCTGGCGCGACAGCCGACTACCTTGGTGACACTGGTAAAAGGCTTCATTCTTATGCTAGCGTTGCCGCTGATGGTGTTCCAAACTTCCCTTATAATTTCTACGACAATCTCGCGCTCGATTCCAATACTTCCTTCGTTCGACGTCTTGGCCGGAAAGGGGGAAAGCTTGCTCTCTTCCTCTCTGATACCGAGAACTGCAAACTCGCCTCCTTCTGCCGTTTTCATCTGGTAGGGAAGTTCCTGTATGGGTATCCAAAATTGGAGTTTCTTAGAAAACACTTTGAATTGATGAGAATTACGGGAGAATAGAAGCTAGGTCCCTTGGATGGAAGACACATTTTGATCCAACTATCTAATGAAGAGGACTATACGCGCCTGTTTGCGAAACGTTTGGTGTGGTTTGAGGATTGCGGTATGAAGGTATTAAAATGGTCAGCTAATTTTGATCCTAAAGCAGAGGCTCCTATTATTTCAGTCTCGCTTAGATTCCCATCTTTGAAAGTTCATCTCTTCAATCATGAAATCCTCTTCTCTTTAGTTGCTATGTTCGGGAGACCTCTAAAATTAGATGGTCCCACCTATAATCTCACGAGACTTTCTATGGCTAGAGTTTTATTTGAACGGAATGTGACTTTACCTCCACCAGATGAGGTTTGGATTGGATTGGAGCACATTGGTTACTAGCAACATGTATTATTAGAACAACATCCCTCCTACTGCACACATTGTCAAATGTTTGGTCATGATCAGGAACAATGTTTCAAGTTACATCTTGAACTGAGGAAAGGGGATGGTAGGAAACAGCCACACATGGAGCAAACTATGCTTCTAGAAATTGTTGCGGCTGTTCAGGCTGATCCTTTAGCAGCTGTGTCCCACCCCACTATCATCCCTTCGGCTTCTGCCGAGGATAGAATTGAGCAGGTGTTATCTGATTTAAATCCTCCTGATATTTCTATTATTGAGGGGGCTTCTGCCTATCTCCATGTTATTTCGAATGCTTAGAAACCAAGATCATATCTTCTCTAATGCTATTGCCCCGGTTGAGAATACTACACAGGTACTACATGCTCTGGACCCTCATATCATCATCTCTATTAGCAAGGGGGCTCGTCCTTCCTCAGCTTCTCTCCCTGACGCTTTGAATAAGGATAACAATTTTATCTATTCTCATCATTCTCTGACACTTCTTTGGAAGATATTTCAAAAGTTTTAAGAAATGAATGACATGTTCAAAAGTACCGTAGGAGGAATAGAGTTCAAGA